TCATCATTATCACCTTAACCTCCTAACAGTATAGCAATTTTATACTTACTTGGTCGACTCTTTTTACTCTGATGAGGAAGATTCTCCGGGGGCATAGTAGGGTCATTACCTAGCAAAACAAATGTATATTTAAAACTTTCCTTCCATCTCCTATTTTAGACCATCCAATGATACCTAAACCCAGCTCGTTGATTAAACTTACCTTGACCTTCCATTGGCTTACTGATTGGCTCAGGAAGACCAGAAGGGCCTCCATCGTCAGATTCATCTTGGGTTTCTTGGTTACTCTCTTTGTTTCCTAAGTCAAGTGTTCTACCTGATTCTAAAAGCGACAATGAAGGTAAAATGAAGTGCAAAATTAATGTATTTATGGTGTTTGGTCTCTAGTGGTATATCTTGTTTTAGTCAATTGCAATTAGTGGTAAATCATCAATGCTGCGTCCTGATTGGGTGAGTTACTTATAGGCTATGAGTTATATCCTACTAGTAGCGAAAAGTGCCAGCTTTGAAAACCAAAACATTCAATTTAACTTTAATTCAAAACTTGTTTGCATCTATTGACCGACAAGTAGGATTTGACTAAAACATGGCCTGTGAGTCAACAGCCCATTCGGGTTCGAGGTCTAATTGCTTACTATAACAAAAATTTGTGTCATATTTAAGTATTGTAAAGAAGGGAAGGAAATGACCAGCATGTGTGACAACATGTAAAATTGGATGTAAGGCGTTACGAATTGATCGCGAGTAACGCAATAACGTGGTATATGTTTTCATTTACCACGATGGTCAAACGACCAATCACGAAGCAGAATTCGTTTTGTAAAAAAAATATTTAAAAACGTGAAATAAAGGCAAAACTTGGACATTGGCTATTTTGGTACCTTCTATATTGCTTCGTGCTTGTGGTGGCTCATCTGAATCTTTGGAGGAAATATAATTATGTATATATAAAGAGAACCTATTAAAACTGCCCAACAGCTGTGGGGTTCAGCTGTTCACGTACAACTCATTGTTGTATATAGCCATTGCAAGGAAGGGTTTTGAACAGGAAATATTGTTCACAGAATTATTTTGAATTTCCAGGAATGGCTTGAAATAGAGGACGAACACTTGATAACTCACCCTGCAGCAATTACTGTGCATCTTTGGTAGACTGCATGGATGCTCGATCCATAGAAAAAGGTAGTGTAAAGAAAGTATTTAATTACTTAGTTGTATGGGAATTACCTTTTGATTTAGTTGGTGATGTTGCTGCCTTGGTAGTCTTTGCTTCTTCATTCGGTGGTGGAACTAGAAGGGAAGGAACTATGAATTTTGTGTTTGAAAGGAAAAACCAAAAATTATGTACTACAACGTTGACAAAAGCAATGTTTGGACGATAAAATGACGATAATATTAACAAAGAAGAAGAAAAAAAAAGAAGAATTAAACATGAGAACTTTGTAACTAACCCTGAGGAATTTTTTGTGCGTCTGAAAAGTAAGACAAAAAAAGAGATTATTTCTGTTTTTCATAGCTTTTACTCTTCGTCTCGTCGCGAACTCAAAGTTTTTACTCTAAAATAACAAAAACCCTTGTTGAAGAAGAAACTCACCAATGATAGCCTTTAATATTTAAGTGTGCAAAGCAAATTAGTTACCACGAGAAAAAAATGGTGCTATATTAAGTATGTAGAAATGTGTCATTTTGAATTTGTCTTTAAGAAACAATGTATTATGCATCTATATTTTATATCATCTACTGGACGTTTATCACAACGCGCCATGACATGCGTAATCTCGTCTTGAAGCGCTTGTAAGCGAGGTCACGTGGGGGAAACCATAGTATAAAGGTTCTCCGTTTAATGCTAATGATCTGGTGTTTGAATCGGCTTAGTTTTCCAGTGGTGATCAGAGTTACTTGATAGATATAAAGATACATAGCTTTAGCTGAGTGAGAATGGAGAAACGTGCAAGGCTACAGTAAACATTAAGGCCCCGTCCACACGTATCCGTATCCGGAAATTTTCGAAAACGGTCTCCAGAGTGGAAATCAAAGGGACTAGGCACTAGCGTGCATCAGGGCGGATCACGAATTTTCCGGATACGTGTGGACAGTGAAAACAGTTCAAAAACGATTCGAATACGCTGCGTGTGGACGCGAACATTTTCGTATCCGCAAAATAAATTTGCGGATACAAAAATTTCCGGATACGTGTGGACGGGGCTTAACTAACCTTTCCAGATTAAATCAGTCATTGGCTTGACCATGTCTTGTAAGTCACTTGATTCTGAAATTGATAACACCTCGTTAGACATACGTGGATCAATATATATATCATGACATCTGCAAATGGATAGACCTTCACGTGGCTTAGATGAACACGTTAATGGCGGTCCCGTACGTAATCAACGTTACTAGCTAAGGATGTTAAAAAAGGACCACGAGTTTATCAGTTGAAGTGAAGTGTCATACTCTTTGTTGATTGATTGATTGATTTTATTCAAATGAACATACTTACTGGTGTATTTATAACCCTCCCTGTCACTGGTTCACACATGTCTGCATGGGCAAACAACTAAACATTTTTGTATGTTGGTCCCAATTTCTAACCGACCTCGTTAGCTTAAGTGCATAGAGGCCATGGATATATAGTTTATAAATCAGCCCGAAGGTTGTTTTAGGGTTTGCAAATGAAATTGTTCATCTGATCAATTTGATATTTGATGTGTGCATGGTCAAAGAACTAAACATTTTTGTGGGTCTCAATTTTTGACAGACCTTGTTAACAAGTGCATTGAGTCCATAAATCAGCCCAGAGGTTGTTTTAGAGTTCCATGAAATTGATATTTGATAGATTATTTTTACTTCCCTGCTAGAAGAGTCTCTCTTCTCTTTCTCTCCCTTCTTTCAGGCGGGGAGGAAGGATACTCTGCCGATGTAGAGCGTTTCCTGTGATACACCGCCGTCCACGATCGTGGACGAACAAAACCAGTTTTAAAACCGGTCCTTAACCGATTACAAGTAGTGCGCATGAGCATATGTAATATGTAACACAAATGTAACACAAATCATGACAGCGTTGCTAAGTTACTCCACGCATGCGCGACAGAAATAACGTCTTACATCGGCAGAGTCTATTTTTCTCTCTCAACCAAAACAAAAGGAAAATAGGCTCTGCTAGCAGGGAATATTTTTACTTACTGGAAAGGAACTTATGCTTCTCTATCGGATCAGAAGCAACATCATTAAGCTCAACCATGGCATCTTTAGCATCAACTCCAACAGTATAAACCACCACACCAGACGCCTTAAGATCATCAGCTGCTTTGTAGACTTTGTCATTAGAACCCTTCGACGCTAGAACGACGAGAGCTTTACGGCTTTCTGGACGAGAACTGCTATCAAAAAGCTGCTTCTTTGCAAACATCAAAGCTCTTCCTGTGTTGCTTCCATGGGAAGGTTTTTTAGAACCCTTGATTGATTCGGATATGTCATCCATAGCGAAATATTCATTCAAATCGAATACCATATAAGGATGTTTGCCATACGTCACGAGTCCCACATGGTTACCCATATCAGACACTTGGAGAGATTTAGAGAGGCTTTCCACAAAGTCCAGAGATTTGGCAAATACACCATGTTTATCGTCTTTGTATGGGTTTTCTACCAGGAAGCCGACATCCAAAGTCGTTTCACTCTGTTTTCCGTTGCTTTTGTCGAACAGGTTGCCAAGTGTCCCTATTGATAAGAAACGAGTTTAGTACTTCATTGAGTTAGAGGGTTTGCACGATCACGTGACGGCAGCCATCTTGGATGGCAAGAGAATGGAGTCTCCGTTCTATGTATAGAACGATTTATTGTTACTGACTCCAATCGTATGTGCAAACCGATTGTTCGTAACTGGTTTTGCTGTGTTTGTCATCTTAAAAAAGAGGTGTTTTCTAACCCATTAGTTTCTCAATCTTCTTCTTTTCTTGTTTTTCCAAAGACTTTCCTGTCATCAAAATCATATACAAGCATCAGTTTCCACTTCTAATGGTTGTCGTCACTGACAACAATCAATGGGCTGAAGAATACTTGAAAAATGAAGTGGATCACCGAATATTAGTTAAATAATCGTTAACGCATAGAGAAATGTCAGGTCATGAACATAAAATTTGTTTCTCTTCAAAACTTTGTGTTTTTTAAGCTGATAAAGTTTGGGGTTTCAGGTTTGATTGCTACACTCGACATCATGAGCATCGCATCTTCTAGTTATTTCTTGTTCAAGTGTTTTTCTCCGGTTTCAAGTCGAGGTTGAACTCGATGAACAAAATAATCAAGTTCAGTCTCAACTTCAAACCATTGTTTCGTGGTCAGTCAAGCGAATTCGAGATAGGTCTATTTGCGGCCCATGGAGTTGTGATGAACTAAAAAGTCATGAACTCGGTTTGTTTTTGGATGGTTCAGATATTGTTTTGTAAAGAAAATCAAAACCCGAGAAGAACAAAATCAAGCTTGCTTTTATTAAACACGATATTTTGGTGTAAACTCATTCTTACCTGAAGAAAATGCTACCAAAAGTAATACCAGCTTGAGCGACAGATACGCCATTTTGTTGCGTTTCTTTCTTTGGTCTTCCAACACCAGAAAAACAGGGGAAAAAATTGTTTTTTGAAGGAAACGATTCTTGATAAAAGTGTGTTCCTTTCGTATTCAATAAAGCATGGAGAGAAGACTTTACAATCAGTACTTGATTTAGTACATCCCAGTTTTAAATAAATTTAAGCTAAATACTATTTTTAGTTTGCGGAAAAGTTTCCTTCTTTGAAGGATGACACGATTGTTTTCATTCTTGGTTTCGCTCGCAATGATCTTGTTAATGTTGTCTTTAACTCAAATCAAAATAAACAAATACCGATAATGTTATTGGTACATTTGGGTTCTGTTGATATCAGAGACCTGTAAGACTAAAAACACGTTTCAAATTTTGATATATTCACTGCCGAACGACGTAGTTTCCGTTTAGATTGGAATATGAGACATGACTTTTGAAATGTGATTTTTTTTGTGTGTTCTAGCCACAAAACATAAAATCACATAATTATGTTAGTCTCAGATCACCCCTCCGATCTCCGACCGACAAGGTGTCTTGAAATAGGTGAATACCAGTCAGGCAAAGGAATCCAGGATTTGGAATCCAGAATTCATTGCTGGGACTAGATTCCAAGATGTAGATCGATCCCAGAATCTTATATCCAAAAAGTGGAATCTGGAATCTAAGACTTGGTATCTGTAATGATATAGTATCTGGAATTTAGATGTGGAATCTGAATGCAATGTCTGAAATCCAGAACCCAGCTGAATATATGGTATTTCGGATCAAAGATATGGCTTCTAGAAAATGTAAAATCTGGAATTTAAGACTTGGTATCTGTAATGGTGTAGTATCTGGTATCCAAGATGTGGGATCTGGATCTCAAGGAAATGCAATCACTTTAATCCAGTATCCAAGATATGGTATCTGAAATCCAGGAAGTAAAACCTGATATCCAATATGTACAATCTGGAATGAATTGCCTGGAAACGAAAATCCAAAACCTGGATTCAAACTGGAAACCAATATGTGAAATCTTTAATTCAATATCTGTTAAATCCGCTAGAAACTGTTGATTCTAGCATTTGCAAACTAGAATCGACTTTTGACTTTTGGCTTCCTTCCTAAAAAGCACGATTTCGTATGAAAAATGTGCAAGTGCCAGTGTAGATGAAAGTAGGGTGACCTACTGCTTGGACTAACGTTTTTGTTTTTGGAGATCCCTTGGGGAACCAAAAGCAAAGACTTTCCTCCTAGGACCAGGGCTACCTTCATATAAAAAAAGGCAGGTCCTATAGAGGATTGGTCTAAGTTGGATTTATTACGCGCAATATGTAAGAGTATCGAAGTGAAAATACTATCCACTTCTCATTCTTGGGAAATGGGCTTTCTCGCGCGGAATTCTTACTCACGCATTAGATTTGTGCCCTTGTAGAATCCCTTTCAAGCGCCTCAAAGCGAGATCAGACAAACATAAGGAAAGGTTACATTTTTATTGAAGAAGAAAGTGTAGTCATTGTTTCAAAGGACCAAAAGTTGTCCCATTTACGTATAAGCCCGGTTCTCACTAGACCTAAACCGACGCAGGCGCAGTACAATAGAAGGGAAGATATTGATCGGTTTCAACCATTCCCAAGAGAATTAAATAACAAAAGAAACGGTGGCCATGTTGGAGGATATAACAAAAGAATTCATTGACAATTCTCTTGTTAAGTCCCTCCAACATGGCCGCCGTGAAAACCATCAATTGTTTATCTTGCGTTGGATTGAATTTGTGCTTATGCTTGCATCGGTTTGCATTGCTAGGGAGAGCCAGGCTTTATAACCGTTTCAGCTACGAAATAAATACAAGCAAAACTTTTTTCTTTTGGAGATTTTTTTGAACAAATTTTGATAGGAGCATAAAAAAAGCGGAATTATTACAGTAATGTAACTTCTTGATAAATCTCAAAATGATAGTGAATTAATCGAGTTTATTTAAGCGAACAATACGATACTTGTAACTCTTGTCAAAAACCTGCTATTTGAACTTAACGCTCCATTGACCATAACAGGTCATTGAAATTAAATAGGGCAACGACACCGCCATATAAAAATCCAATTACAGAGGGAAAAAATGAAATATTTTAAGAAATATAACTCTTAAACAAATGACTAAGCATCTGACGATGTGATTTTGAGAATTTTGTGTAATTTTTTTCCCCCTATGGATGCAAAAAGAGCGGTTTGTTTGTGTTGCTGGTTGTTTTTGATTTTGATTTTGTCAACAAGTTGCTCTCAGCGAATAAGTAGACGACTTAAAGTTAGAAAAGGTAAGCAAAGCACTCGAAGTTTTGTTATGCTATTCTTAGGGAGAACTCAACCAGAAAGTCAAATAATAAATAACGTTCAAAATACTGGTTCTTTGCTGTTGCTACATGAAAGGTCTCACTACACACAACAACTGATAACCGGTATTATTGGCCACTTTTTGATTTTTTGTTTTTTTTTTTTTTTTTTTTTTTTTTTTTTTTTTTTTTTTTTTTTTTTTTTTTTTTTTTTTGTATATAAAATTTCAATATTAGTGTATCATTAAAGAAGCATCTTAAAGAGCAATTTTTTTCTATTTTTCATAGTGGAAATACTGGATGTACACTTTCTAATTTCTTAAAGAAAGGAGGAATAAAATTCAGCAAAATCAAAATTTAAAATCAATGAAAAATGATACACATTCCCAGACATGAAAAGCTATTTCTCTTAACATTCTCGTGTACCTTTTTTTAAATTCTACAATATTTTCAAATGAGTTGTACTATGTCTTTAAATAGTAGAGAGGAGATGGATCAATGAAATTCACAGCGAACGTCGAGTGTCAACGAAAACCAACATCCCTAAAACAAAAACAAATGACGTTTCAAGCCTTTTTCTCCTACAAAAAAGACTTCGAGATGAAATCGCCCGAAGATCGTCCGAAACCTCAAAGGGAGTATTATCTGATTCATACTTGAATCAATTAAGAAAACTAAATAAAGAACTCTCAATCAAAAGTAATGCCTTGCACGCCACCCCAGAAAAATTTCGTGGGCCAAAATGGTACGAGTCACGTTCGAAGCTGGCCCATAATTTAAGAAGACTTATACTGATGTTGGCTTCGAGAAACTTGGACGACATACTTCGACCAAGCCCTGTTGCCATGGAAACAGGAGGACGAAGAGAAAAAACATCTAGTAAGAGTGATATTGAGTTTATCAAGGCAACAAACAATAAAATTTGTCTTCCTCAATGAATGACATCCACGAAATCTCAATTTCACTGTTCTCAGGGGATGCGGAAGGGGTGGGGCACTTTTACCCTTTTCCCATACTAGTCTCTTATATTTTCCAATCTTACCCCCCCCTATTTTTCCCACACTAGTCTCAATCTTAGCACTCCCCCCTAACTTTTTAGAGTGCTCCGCGGCCCCTGCTGTTTGAATTAATTAAGTAGATATCTGACCAACTTTAGTTTTCACCCATTAGTTTAAAATCACCAAAGTGCCATGCGACAAAACTAAATATTTCCTTCTCGTCCGGCAGGCTCCAATATGGCGTTTGATATTGGATTCGTTGTTGATGGCTCAGATATTGTCGAAGAACAAGGTTCAGGAAACTTTAGAAAACTCTTAGAATTTGTCAAGAAAGTCCAGCGAGCGTTACCAATATCCGTAAATGGGATACATCTTGGTTTGGTAACCTATGGTGACGAGGCAGAAGATAACATGGACTTTAACATCAACTTCAACCAAAAGAATTTTGAGTCGGCAATTGATGGGATCAATTATCCTGGAGGTGTGACGAAAACTGGGGATGCTCTTGGGGTGGTGATGAAAGAACTGTTGCCCAGCAGCAAGAGAGTTCAGGTTCAGCATGTTATCGTGCTCTTGACAGCTGGCAAGTCTGAAGATGATCCTGTATCCATCGCCGAAGAAATTAAAGCTAGCGGAGCCGTAATGTTCTGTATTGGAGTTGGTATGATGTTTGATCGTGCGCAACTGGACGCTATTGCTAGTTCACCATCTTCAACTCACGTGATGACTGTTGGGTTTAACGCGCTTGATTCATTGGTCAAGTCTTTGGCTGATGCCATTGTTATAGGTAGACATTCCTCTAAAATTTGAGTGCCTTTTTTTTTTGTTGCTATTATCGTCTTTTTGGTCCGTTTGCGTGGTGTTGCAGGATGTATTAAATTATTGGTAAAGTTTTTGGCCGGTGTTCTTAGGATTTCTTGTTTTTTCTTTCCCCCCACCATGCAGATGTCCAAAAAGGCCCTAGTCAAAATAAGGCTGGAAGCGACAGACCAAAAACAGTACAGGATGAAGGTGGTCTTGTAGGTATGAGAGTTGTTTTATTCTATTTTATTCGTTTGTCCTTGCSACAGTGTTTAAACTGACAATACTTTACAATTACTTAGTTATACTTCACATGAGGCTAGGTAGTAACTACTTGGCCTTCGTTAACTTCGAGGGAAAGGACCAATTGGATTATAAAACAATAGAATGAGACAATAAAACAATAGATTCGTTCTGTTGTTTGACACTTAAACAGTGCTTACCGTAGTAACTAATGTTCTCTTTTTTTTGTATCTTTTAAGAGGCAAAAATCGACTTAGGTTTTCTCATCGATGGATCATCCACAGTCGGAGAAGACAATTTCCGTTCAGCTCTTGATTTTGCTTACAGCATTTTTGAAAATTTTTGGACATCATTTGGAAGCGTAAATGTTGGTGTTGTGGTATTCGGCAAAGACTCAAAACTAGCTTTTGACTTTGAGAATTCGTACAGTGGAAAACTTGCAATCAAAGAAGCTATCGACAGCATCAGCTATCCTTCTGGGGATAGTTATCTTGGTGATGCTCTTCAAGCTACAAAAGGTATCTTTAAGCCAAAATGAATAGCATAATTTATTGAAAATGAAAGTACCATAGAGGGGGGGGGGGGGGTACCAAAGTTAAACCAAAGAATTAGGGAATCGTACCAAAGAATTGTAGGTGAAGTGAAGAGCATGGTTTCATTTAAAAAGATGACACCTTTACGTCATATATAGCTAATCATTGTTAACCCCTCACATTAGGTTTAGCAACCCTTGTAAAGCGACTGTTATACGATTGATTTGTATCGTGACTAAAGAAGACATTTTTAGAGAAGACTTCCTTAACTGCAAGGGTAGACGTAATAACCAAGACAGCCAGCACTTTTGGCTATTGAGTCCATATTTTAAGTTCCTGTGGTATATATATGGTCGTGCAGAAGGAAAACGAGCCCACGACCTCCTGCTGCACAGGAAACGGATTTGCCATTATATATCCTCGTGGTCAACTCCTATTCATGAAAATTTATTTATTTCGATTTCGTTGATAAAGATTAAGAAATCATTTTTTTATTATTTCCAGCTTATTTGTATGGCAGCAAACAAGCGGACGGCCGTCGTCGTATTCTCGTAGTTATATCAGGAAGCACTTCAGAAGATGATATTTTCTTAGGTGCTGGCGAGTTGACGGCTGATTCTGTGACGGTTTTCTGTGTTGGTGCAGGGACATTCTACGATATGGATCAGCTTACTGGAATCGCTACTAAACCTGCAAAGAGGCACATACTTACGGTTCCAGAATATTCGAAACTAAACAACATAAAAGAAACACTGATCAACAAAATTGAAGAAGGTAAAATAATTTTGACATTTTGAGCCATATACTTTAGTTATCTCTAAAGATCCATAGCTAATTAATGCAGGAGTACAATTTCACATATTTCAGCCAGAACAGCCTTCCTCTCACCAAAACCAACACCTTCACCCGATGAACCTGAGATGACAACAAAATCTCCATTTGAAGGTAAGAAACCTTAAAAAAGAGCAGACTTAAAAGGATTTATTAGATATTATCCTGAAATGCATTCTATTTTTCTGAAGTTACATCTAGCCCTAAGAACCAGCCAGGAGGTAGTACCCCTGGTAGTCAACCAGGTGGAAGTACCCCAGGGAACCAACCAGGTGGAAGTACCCCAGGAAACCAGCCAGGTGGGACCACGCCAGGCAGTCAACCAAGTGGAAGTTCCCCAGGAAACCAACCAGGTGGAAGTACCCCAGGAAACCAACCAGGTGGAAGCACTCCTGGGAACCAGCCAGGTGGAAATACCCCAGGCAACCAGCCAGGTGGAAGTACCCCAGGGAACCAACCTGGTGGAAGTACCCCTGGCAACCAGCCAGCTGGAAGTACCCCTGGCAGCAAGCCAGGTGGAAGCACCCCTGGGAACCAACCAGGTGGAAGTACCCCAGGGAACCAACCAGGTGGAAGTACTCCAGGTAATCAACCAGGTGGAAGTACCTCAGGAAATCAACCAGGTGGAAGTACTCAGCCAGGAACACCTGGGAGCAGTGTCCAGGAACATCCATCGCCAAATAGCTCATCTTTACCTCCTCCCACAAGGGTTGAAAGGAATGTCAGTACACCTGGTGAATCCCCTGGAACTGACACAGGTGCCAACAAGAAACCAAATACAGGGTCTCCGACCAATAAAGAAGAGAGCGGAATTAAACCTGTGACAAATCAAGGTTGGTGAAATTTTGAGAAATATGTAGTTCTCTAAAGAGGTTTTGGATGAGGGAAATTGGTGGACATATCATTTAAACTCTAATCCAATTTGTCAGATAACACCATCAACACGCTCTAGGCATTGATTTAACATGACCCACCATTCTTTTCGTTCTAATATTTGCGGTGCACTTAAAACAGAACAATGAAAACATTTCTCGTGGGAACATTCGATGTGAAATGTCAAATGGCAAACTATTGTATTAATGCATAGTGGCTTACGAGTCCAGAATAAGAACCCGGCAATATATAATATATATAATGATATTTTGTCATTTCAGAGGATGTCCTTGACCTTGTCTTTCTCATCGATGGTTCAAATGCAATGAACACCCAGACCTTCACCAAAGCAAAAGACTTCATGAAAAACATTTATGGAAACTTTCCAATTTCTCAAGATGCAACTCATGTTGGCTTTGCAGTTTATGGATGTACACCGAAGGTCGTTTTTACTCTCACTGACTACACATCGCGGCAGAGTCTGAATAAGGCTGTAGATGAGTATCAGTACCAGGAGTGTGAAAAAAAGCTACTTGGTGAAGGCCTTTCTTTTGTTAGAAAAGTAATTTTCGACGAAAGCGCAAGACCCGGAGCACAAAAGGTTCTGGTTGTCTTAGTAGCTGGAGCCTCAGAAGATGACGTCAGGCCTCCCTCACGTGACTTGCGCGACCACGGAGTAATAATATTTGCTGTTGCTATTGGCAACAGTGCAGACAAGAATCAGTTGACTGAAATAGTAAGCTTTCCACCTGAAGACAAGTTAATGTTCGCTGATCCTCAAAAGATGATACAGAAGTTGTCTCCAGTGGTACAGAATATAAGACAAGGTACCAAACATGCCTATTGTAGCCGTCCCGTGGTTAAGGCAAATACTGGGACGAGTTGGCATTGCAGTGCATTGTTGGGCTGTTTTTGTAGACATCAAGATGGCGTCTATTTCTTCCCTTAAAACAAACCAAAATTGCACTGCAAATCCAACTAAACCCAGCTTTGTACTCGACCTCGGAATGGATGGACCTCTTGACTAACACTAAAACGATTAGCTTTTTCAAAAATGAACATTATATATGAGGTGCTCTTTTGAAAGTTATGTATAACTAAATCTTTTTTTTTCTTTTGCAGCTCTAAGTAAAGGTGCTCCGCCGGGCCCAATAGGTAATAATGATAATAATTAATATTTATTACTTTTATTGTACGATATTTGATATTATTTATTACGTGTCATTCTCTTGATAAAACGATTCTTTGTTTGAATTGTATCCATGTTTATGCCTGGCTTCTTATGTGCAACCGATACACCGTTCTATAAAGAATTAATGATTTGTTGTACCCTGCACGTGGTGAGAAGAATAACTATTTTTCATCTAACTAATCTTTATTTTTTGGTTCTAACAGAAGTTATAATGGAACTAGGATTCTTAGTGGATGTTACATCCGACAGCTTCACAGCCGATTTCTTCCCGAAAGTCCTACGAAGCATAAAAATGATCTACAGCGCATTCGTCGTCAATCAAGATAAAACACGAGTGGGCGTTGTCACATACAATGGAAGCCCTTCTATTGCTATCGCGCTGAACCAATACAACACAATAGAGGATATTAACGCTGCTGTCGATGGTATCAAGCAAAGCTCTGTCAAAGGTCCTGGTTCTTTGGGTCAAGGGATAACCTACACGACCAACTCGTTTTTCAAAGGAAACACAAGAATACAGACACCCACGGTTCTAGTCATAATTACAAGTTCTAAGTCACGTGATGACGTGGGTAACCCAGCAACCGAGGCCAAAAGCTTCAATACTACCATATTTGTTATTGGAGTCGGATCCAGTGTCGATAAGGCAGAGCTGAATTCTGTGGCGTCACCATTGGCTGTAGATCACGTGATGTTAGTTGATTACTCTTCCAAGGACTCCGCTTCTGAAAATGGTGCTTTTAGAATCAAGAAAGGTAAGACTTGCATGTGTGTCACAAAACCCCATAGGGGTTGGTACAAATATTTTCTTGGGGTACTTTATTTTATTTTATTTTTTAATTTTAGCTGTGCAAGTGAACCTTGGTTTCCTGGTCGATGGCTCCCAATCTGTCCCCAAAGCCAACTTCATATATATATTGGACGCTGTCAAATACATCTGCAGTGCTTACCCGATATCAAAAGAAGACGTTAACGTTGGACTTGGGATCATAGAAACAGATCCATCAATCATCTTTGACTTTGATAAATATTTTACTAAGCCAACATTGAATTCAGCCATCGATAGTACAGAACACCCTGGACGAGGAAAGACCCTTAACCTTGGAAAAGCACTATCACGTGTCAAAACTGAGATGTTTGATAGGAGTTCAAGGCCGCTTGTGCGTAGGGTGTTGATAGTGATTTTGGCGGGAAGCCCTAGTGACCAGTACACGGATGCAGTCCGGTCGCTAAGAGACGATAAAATCGAAATTTTCGTGTTTTCTGTTGGGGGTGGAACAGGAATTAAAGTAACGGAAGAAGTCGCTAGCATGCCACATGAGATCCATATCGTTCATAGTACCAGTATTGATACTGTTAATACACAAGCGCTGGAGTTGATTGAAAATCTACAAATCGCTAAAGTTGGCATTGGTAAGTGCTAACAGAGAGGTTGGAGAGTACTAAATATTTTATTTTGAGCAGGTTTACGGTAATTGGGGGGAGGGGGAGGGGGAATACCGCCAGGTTCCCGATAATCCGAGAAAAATAATTAACCAATCAGAATCGAGAAAATTTTACAAAACTAAGATGTAACTTTTCCTCTTGAAATTATAGATTTTTCAGGCCACCAAATGGAATTTTTTTTACGAAACTAAGATGTCACTTTTCCTCTTGAAATTATGGATTTTTCAGGCCACCAAAAAAAAAACTTCAAGGAAGCGCTTTAAAACAGTGACACGATAATTAATGAGCTTTATATTTTTATTGCAATGACGAACATGTTATTTTTCGTTGGTCAATTTTCGCAGGCTTCGTGACACCTCAGTTTTGCAGTGACCTCATTTCTATTTCACTATTTCAGATCAACTGGTTTAACACAATATATTTGATCTTTTGTTGTCATCTAGATGTTCCCCCGCCAAAAGTACTTCCACCAAGCCCACAGTCCAATAACGGTAAGTACTGCTTGTCATGATATGATATTTCACCTGGCACAAACAATATACGAGTATTTTGCATATTTATTTATTTTTGTGACGAAGAGAAGTTTTCGAAATGAGAAAAATATCAAAAAGAGCAAAATACATCCATGTTTGCATATTTTTTTTTGTGGCAAAGAGAAATATTCGAACATATGATACAGTGAAAATGTTCTTTCTGAAGCAATCAAAATTAAGGGCATGTCTACCGTCCAATCGCGTTTCAGTAGAATGACAGAAGCATTTAAAACCTATTTAAAAATACGGAAATACGGAGAAAATTTAAAAAAAAATTTTTAAGTCTGATTACTGTTGAGAGATTGGACTGTAATTATTTATGACGTCATCARTGCGTCATAGATATTTCCGTGATGAACTAAAGCTGTCACGTAACATATGATCCAATACTTTTCAGTATAAGTTAATTAAGATCATAACAAATGGCTTTCTCCAAAAGGGTTTCTTTTTTAATAGACCTCTTCGGCTCTGACGTAATGTTTTCCCATTTCAGACAACGTGTCATTCCCTAGAGTATCATTTCTTTGTTTAAGGTTTGCGCTCGGTTGCACATGAGAAGACACATAAATATAGATATAGCTCAAACAAAGAATCTTATTCTCAAGGGAATGACACGTGGTCTGAAATGAGAAACCATTACCCCAAGCTGAAGAGGTCTATTCATCATGAACTCCCGAATTTCTTAACTTATATACTGTATTCTGATGGGAAGGAACGGTGCAGTACCGCCCAATATACGGCCTTCCTGCGTTCTGATTGGCTGTATTTTAAATACTATTGAAGATATATATTTTATCAATTATTGTTATTGTATTTATAGGTGTAATAGATCTTGTAATTCTCATCGAAGGCGGAGACAACACGAAACCCCAAGACTTTGAGCAAATCAAAGAAATAGTCAAAGCTATTTATAGGTTCTTCCCAGTTGCCAAAAGTGGTACACACGTTGCCGTGGCTGTTTTCTCCGGGACAACCAAAATAATATTCAATCTGTTCACGTATTTCACTGTCAATGAAATGGATGATGCTGTTGATAGTGCTCCTTACCCGGGTGGGGAGAGTAAAACCGGAAACGCGCTAACGGAAATCAAGACTAAAATATTTGATCCATATGGAAGGCAAGACATCCCACACGTCTTGGTGACAGTTATGACAGGACCTTCTGCCGACAACGTCGACGTTCCCGCCAATGCGTTAAAGGGTGCATGTGTATTATTGTTTTCTATGGGCATGGGGACGCAGTTCAGGCCGACTGACATTGAGAAAGTCGCGAGTTCGCCTCGTTCGAGTTATACAATGGTTAGTGAAACGTTCTCGCATGATGTCTCGTTGGGCGAGTTGATGGCTGCCAAGATGCTCAAAGGTACGTCTTAAAATATATTAACGTTACGTTAAAGCATTTTGATTAATCCCAAATAAATCTAGATGAAGCTGAATTCGAACCAATGTCTAGGAAGAAAAAATTCTAAATTGATTTCAATTTTGTTAAACAATGGCATACATTATCAACATCATCATCACCACCACCATTATTAATATAATCGTCATCATCATCAATATTATCATATTATTACCACCATCATTACCATCATCACTATTCTTACCATGATTATTTTATACGGAAAACTTTACGAAAAACAAATTATGATTTTTTTTGATTGCCTTTCTTTCAGTTCTTTCAGTTGTGCAGGGCTGGAATAAACAGTGCATCCCAAAGGGAGGTAATATATCTTTTTGTAAAAAAAAAAAAAAAAAAAAGTTTATGCAGAATAGTCAAATTGTACGACTGTAGAAATCTCATGGCACGGACGTGTCGTGCATTGACTGTGACTGTGTCGTGCCCAAAAGTTCCATTGGATACCTGTCGCACTGCTTCAACTATTGTCGTTATAACCGTGTCGCGTTCTTGACGTGATTTCTAACGATAGTTACAATATTCCATTGACAAAGCAAGACGTATTTGATTTTCTTGAGTTTCTTAATGATTGAGTCCTTTCTCGTAATTGCTATAGAAACGAAGCTCGACCTAGTCTTCCTGCTGGATGCTTGTCGCGACATCCCCTCACCATCCTTCAACAAAGAAACAAATATCGTACAATCAATCGCCACATCTCTTCCATCTGCCCAAACAGAAACACATATAGCAGTTCTAGCTTTCTCTGGAGGGGTAATCGTGGCCAAAGATCTTCAAAGCCAAAACACCGACTTAGCTGGCTCACTGAGTAAACTTCAAGCTTCCGATAATGGCTGCCCGGTTGGTGCCGGTCTAACGAAAGCAAATGAAATATTCCAAAGTCAAGGTCGTAAAGGAGTCTTAAAAATTATCATCGTTATTACTGGGGGAAAGTCAGACGATGATGTAACCGCACCAGCTCAAGAGTTGCAGAAGACTGGGGTGATAGTGTATACTGTAGGATTGGGTAAAGCCAATGACCTGAGTACTCTCGGAAGCATTTCAAGTAGTCCTGCCTCAGAGTTTGTTATCGAGGAACCGGATTTTCCTTTCAGCACTAATGCACAAAGTGCTTTGCTGACAGACTTAAAAGGAAGTAAGTACTCAAATATTAATTACAGTTGTTCTTCAACGAAATGCGCGAACCCGTATAATAATACTCGTCCTTCATAGACCTCTTCTAATATTAGAAATCCCGAGCTATATCGCTTATCAGCCATTTCGAGGTCGAGGAAAACTGGGTCTAGTTGGCATTGCAATGCATTCTGGGACTGTCGATTGGGAGCATATTTTCAAGATGGCGTCTATTTCGTACCCTAAAGCTGCCCTAAAATGCACTGCAATGCCAACTAGACCCAGTTTTTCCTCGACCTCGGAACGGCTGATGAAGCATACTAACAAACACAATACCAATGAATCAATGATATTTTGCAGTGTTTGTAAACAAATAGCTTTATTTCACTTAATCCAGTTGAATTTTAGAATTTCTTTTAACAGTCTTCGTGTGCTGACTTTAATGCAAACCTCATCAAATTAACAAATTGACATCAGATTTTTATGTGTCTGTCCTCTTATTGACGATAAATTGCGTCATCACATTGCCAAAGTAGTGTGGATCCACGAGGCGTCATTTTTACTGATCAAAACAACTAACGGAAAGAGCGCGCGCTCGTTGACGTCAGGTTTATCTGTCTGTCCTTATTGATGATATAAAATAACCAATCAGCGCGCGAAAAATTTGTAAGTTATTGTAAAAAATTTTTCATGACAAATTTAAAAATTGTTTGTGTATTATTCTAAAAATATCCACGGAAGCGTGCTGGCTGAAAGAAAACATTCCAGAAACCAAGCAAGTGTTGTTTTTTTAATGTTTAGGAAATATGACTGAGAATGTTCTCGAAAGATTAATGAAAAACCCTCTTGTGTTTGACAACATGGTTTGATAGCACTCATGCTTAAGCTACTTATGAACCCTTGTTTTCAAATCGAATCAACATATCGTTACTTTTTATCTATACAAATAGCTGTTMATCGCGTTTTCGTTTAAGTGGGCTTCTCTAGATATTAAGCTTTTAATGGGTTTCAAGAGTGATATAAAAGTTGCCCCAAAGCACCTAGTTACTCGATTGTAGCCATTTGAATAGAAGAGTTATTTACCTAGATTTCTCTGCTTCCCAAAATGTATTTAGATTTCTCTGCTTCCCATATAGACCTGTTAATTTGGGCGTTATTATGTCTACCTATGTCTACCTATTACAGACAAGGTGTAATTATCTTGAGAATAAGATTCTTCGTTTGAGTTGTATCCATATTCATGT